TTCTTTAATCAAAATATTTCAGCACAGAAATAAAAACCCTCTAAGCAGACACATCCTTACACGCAGAGCTGGTTTTACCTGCTTCATCACTGGGAAAACAAATTCACAAACCTCCACCTTCTGGTGCCTTACTACTCCATTAAAAAAAAAAATCTATAGTGCAGGAGAAGGAGCAAATTAATACCAAATCAGGACTGACTTCAGGAGTTGAGAACACAGCTGCTCAAAGCACAAAGCAGTCACGCAGCACTGCAGGAAACCAGCACAACCAAAAGACAACGAGCTCCCCCTTCCCTACCCACCCATCCCCCCAAAGGAAACAAAACAAACAACCAAAAAAACCCACCACCACCAAAATATCTGCTGAGATTATTTCCCTCCTAGCCCTCCCATCTCATATATTTCCCACCAAGTCCCAGCGAATGAGGGCTGACTTATCTTCTGCAAAATGTGACTAATTGCTTTGTAGATTTTTATCTTTAATAGCATAGCAATAAATATTCTCTCTGTACACATTTAACCTTTCAAATATCATTCAGTCTTTTGTCCACAGATTCCCAGAAGTGCTTTTTTTAAGTATCTGACCTGTGCCATATGGTCACCCTACTCAAAAAAAATGTCCCACACCACTAAGAGTACCTCAAACTAGGCAGCTAAATTTTCAGCCCTTGCTTACCTGCAAACAAATCACAAGAAACTCCTTATTGTAGCACAACTGTCTACCTACTGTCTAGTGCATTCTCTTTCATCTGTTTTAAGCCAAACCTCCACTAGATTAAGCTAGAATCCCTTTAGCTCTAGTATTGCAGGATTTGGTCAACAGCATTTCTGTGTTCACTTTGTATGTCTTGCATGTATGTCCCCATGATTTTGTAAACCTTTTCCATATCCCCCTGGTTTAACTTTCTCCTCTCCAAACAGAGGAGAAAGCCTTGTTAGCCTTGTGAAGAGGGGCAGCTGTCTCATGCTCTCCTGGGGAAGCTCTGTGGCCTTCCAATCATCGCTGTGTGGAGACTAGAACTGAAAACAGAGCTTGAAATGAAGGCACACCAAAGCTTTGACACTGAAACACCCATTGAAGAACAGCTTTGGAGTCAACTGAAAGGGATTCTCAGAGGCTTAAGGGTAGTTATCACATTTGCACAACTTAGTGACATCACTCCATTCTCAGAGCCACTTGGGGATGGCATGGGCCACAGCTCTCCACTTACCCCCACAACCTCTCCAGCCTGTCTACTTGTATTGCTTGCTACCAGCCAAGCTCCACAGCAGGGGCACTTGCAACAGCCCACAGCTGACCACAGAGCCTTCCTCTACATCTGCTCTTGGTGAGAGAAGTGGGGAGAAGACACAACAGCAGCAGCATTAATTGAGTTGTGGCCCAGGTTGTCCTATACCAGGTA